CCATACCCCTACCATAGAGAGAGCCATAGCGGTCAGCGTTTGGCAGCCGTCTAAACTTGGCCTCAGCTGCAAAAAACCTTGTACTGGGTTCAAAATTATTTGTTCTGACAGTTTTCCCCTGTACAACACCACAAAAACCAGGTGGTATGTTTTGCCTTCCGGCACAGGGTGCGCCTGCTGGGGCAGCTGTCGTGCCGCTGGACTGGGGGCTCGCAGCTTACTGGACAACTTTGCGAGGATGTTGCGAAGTCTACTTGTAGTTTGACCGTGTAGTGACTGTGTAGTGACTTGTAGTGACCCGTGACCGCATAAGACCACGTAGTGACCGCGACCGCGTAGCGACCGGACTTTTCTGACAATAAAAGTCGGCTGACTCCTTCCAAGGATTTGTCCACTTGTGTGCGAAAGAACCGTTATGTCTTTGTTCCTAGGTGAACGTGTTAGGTAGATAACTTGCGTCGTATATATTTCGAGATTGATGCGACACTGTCAGCTTTGACCTTTTCGGTTTTTGGTTGCTTTCCACCATCCTTCCGTGGGTTGTGCACCCCATTAAAACAAACAGCTTCGTGAGTTTCGCTGTTAAGTTGATTCTGAGTCCACAACAGACGTCGATCTGGTAGTCTCCAAGGAAAGATGGATGAGAATGACGAGATAGAGGTTGCCCGAGTTGTGTTTGTGATCTTTGGCTTTTGCAAAATGCCAGGGCTTGTGGCTGCCAGAGCCTCCAAAGAGACGCTTCAAGTCTTTTGAGCTTGAGTCCTTCCTTGCCTCTGAGCAGTTTCAAGTCTCAGCTTACTAGCCACCTCTCCAGGCAAATTCCAATCTGAAATTTCTGCTGCCACTTGATCATCTCCAACATCCAGCCCGCTGCCCGGAGCTGAGTGCATTGCAAGTGGTTTCAAAAGCAACATCTTTGAACGTAGCTCTTGCAGACATTATCTTCAAGCACTTTCGTTGCCAGACACATGGATAGCAAACCATGAGTCACGCTCTTCTGAAGCTCAGGCAAGCTTGACATGTGTTGTGAGCAATGCCACGGCGCCGTCTGCCATGGTGGTGCCCCATTGTGTTTGCTGTCCACCTGCTTTCCTGCACAGCCCCGTCAGCGTTTGCAGCTGACAAGGTGGGGTTGCGAACACGGGTGTTCGTGAAGAGAACATGTTTGGGCGAAACCCAGAGAAATCAAACGCCGGAATGGGCGTCCACTCTACCGGCAGCACGCTCATCACCTCTGCTGCTTGAAACGCTTGCGACAGCCGTCCCTGCGCTGCAGCTGGATGGCCCGCTGTCTCAGGCTATTGAGGCGCTTGCAGACGGCCACTCAGTGTTGCGAACTTCCTCCCAACCAGAGCGGAAAACAGCACTGGTGGTGCTGTTAGCCAGCAGCGGCAAGGGCAAGACGCGCTTCCTGTACGAGCTGAACGAGCGACTTCAGCAGAAGAACCGGGCAATGTGCATCCCAATCACCTTCAACGGTCAGCAAAACCTGGACTTCGATTCTGACGCAGTAGAAACTTTGACGGCACAGCCAAGACAAAGAGCACTCGTGCATGTGGTGTTACGGCTGCTCCACGCAACGTTTGAAATCGATGATCTGCAAAAGTTTGCAGAATCTTTTTGCAAGAGCCTCAAGGCCGCCAATGTGCCTCTGACCGCGTCACTGCTGCGTGAGGTGGTGGCAGTGTGCTCAGAAACGCGTGAGGACATCAAGAATGTGACCATCCTCGTGGATGAAAGTGGCCGCTTGCCAAAGTTGCTGAACATGCCAAGAGGAGACGGAGACGAGTTCTCGGCCCTGCGCTCCTTGTGCACGACCGCAGGCGTTAATAGTCTGGGATTTTCTGTGATGGTGATGCAAGCCGGCCTCGGCGACTTTGCCGAGCAGACCGTCAGCCAAAGAGATGTGAAGGTCATTGCGCTACTGGAGCAGGAAGTTGAGGACGCCCTGCAGAATTGGGTGCTCTACGAGGCGGAGTCCCAAGACAGTGTCCAGCGCTGGGCAAACAGCATTGCAGAACTTTGCAGGGACGGTCTGCGGACAGAGGCCAACACAGAAAAAATCATCAAGAAGCTGGTGCTGAAGCCTCTCGTTGTGGAGTACGTGCCCCTGGCTCGTGGCTTGGAATACCTGACTGAGGCCGTGAAACAGTTTGACGTCTCGGACGCAGGGCCCATCGCTACCGAGCCAGAGTTGGGTTCGAGAATCCGTCAAGTTGGCCTCAAGCTTCGAGACTTGGTGGATGGAAATCTCAACGTGAGGTACAGCATCGTGGCGCAGCGCCTGACGCCCGCAGTCCTGGCTCCAGCCATCCTTCCTTCTCATCGCTTGCTGGTGAGTCTCGAGCAGGAGATTGGTGGCCACCGTGTCTCAAAGCTCCTGTCAGAGGCTGCGTACTCTAACACGCTTGAAGAGCTTCGCCCTGATGCGGTGTTCCTCCCCAAGATCGTGCCGGCCTTCTTGCGCCAAGCGGCTCAGCAGCAGTCTGACCTGCATTATCTTCTGGCCTGGTGGGAGGAGTTGGAAGAAGTGCTGAAGGCACAGGCTAGCGGCACCACAGGCGCTGGGAAGTTGCTGGATGTGGGCGTCCGGCTTTGGACCTACACCATTCTGCTGGCGCTGCATAGATGTGAGTTGAAACCAGAGGACCTTACCTTGGCCGACATCTTCCCACATTGCATGACGCATGACGGACTGGAGGCAGCGGTCTACAAGATGCAAATTCCTACAGCAGTGACCCTAATGGCGTTGAGGAAGCCTCTGAATTCCTCTGCGTCCACGAGAATCCTGCACTTTGCTGTGGATGAGGCTCGAGAGGGTGCGGCTACAGTACTAAGCATGGCTGATGGACAGGCTGGCGTGGACTCTGTTGTGGTGTTGCCTTTGCCACGAGGGAAGGTGCTGCTGCTTGGCTTGGAGCCGCACGGCGG